CTTCATAACTGGATTAGTGCGTAAACCTCTCGGACCTCTAGCCTGTGCGGACTGAACGGCGGCCAACACTCTCTCTCTCTCTCTCTCTCATTGATTGTAATCGTAATTCAAACTCGTTGTGCAGTACTTGGAAGCGCTGCTCAAACACTGGACTTCCCTCACATCGTGGGTGAAGGCATTCAATTGAATGAGATATCGAGTTATGCCAACAGTTTGGGCGATAAAGCCATCGGATATATACGGACTGAACAACAGAAGGACAACAACAAGGGTTTAACAGTTGTCTCTCAATTCTACCAAGATTGTATCGATGCATTCACACCTATTGCACGATGGTTGTTGGGCGAGTTGCAAAACACTCAAGAACCTATATTGCAGCTTGTTGTGACCTCAACTGTGATGGGCCAATTTTATGATCTTACCATCATGATCGAGCGTTTGTCTGAACTGCGGGCCGTTAAGCCCCTGTCGGTCACCGGCAATGAGCACAACCTTATCAACCGATTAAATGCATTGGAGAGTCGAGTGTTGGCCGCCGTTCAGTCCGCACAGGCTAGAGGTCCGAGAGGTTTACGCACTAATCCAGTTATGAAGGGTTATTACGATAAGGTTAGTTTGCAAATAGTCATTAATAATTAAATAAATTGACGATTATTTATTAACCATGTATATTTTAGACCAATGCTTTTTTAAGCGCTGAGTTCCCCAAACTGAATGCTGCAATCGGTAACTTACCCTCAGCTGCACTCAGACAGCAAACCATTCAACAACTGATCATCGATTTGACACACTTTGCAGAAATGCCCTTTATGCTTTAATTATAAATAGATTGAATAACAGACCACAATGATTTAATTTTTAATTGTTTATAAAAGACAAATATAAAATATAATTTTTTAAAACTTTAATGTTATTTTAAATATAATATAATAAATAATAAATAATATAAATATAATAAATGTGCTTTTATGCATATAACAGTTGCATATTTAAATAAATAGATTTTTAAATATTATATTTATAATTAATTTGATCTTTTAGTGAATGAAATTATAAATTGCATATTTTAGAAGATTTCAAATTTTAATATTCATTGAATAATGTGACTCAATAATAAATTTTTAGTTGGATTTGTTTACAAAATGTTTTTTAATTCATTGATATTGTATTGACTGCAGTGTTGTATCAATTGGTTGACAGCGATGTCCGCATCACTCGATTCACGCATTGTTTCACAAATATTCACAAATGTTTGCAATTTTTGTAAACCATAGGAATTCTATAGGAATAAACCAAATGTTGAGTTTAATTCAATTATTATTATGTTTAAGATTTAAATACTTGTCCCAAATCAAGACACTGTTCGGCATAAGTATCTACAAGTTGTCGATAACACTGTCTATTATTGAGCTCTTGTTTAGTGTTTAGAATAGCATTGCTATCGACTGTCAGTAAGTGTTGAATACTATTCACGTATTCAGACATATGTTTATCAATAGTTTGTCTGCCATTCAATAGAGTCTCCAATTCTTCAGTATATCTATAAATATTAATTATTATTAAATTTTCATTATTTTATTCAAAAAATACAATTACCTTAATTTCTCGTCGACATCCTTCGCATGAATAATATTTTGCTGCAATACATAAACAGCCGCTTCTCTGCTTTTAACAAATTTTATGTTTTCATTCATTAAAACAGATTTTGATTCACTTTGAGGTAACTTTTTAGACCCTGAGATAAATAATATTATGCTAATTAGTGTACATGGCAAAATAAATTTGATTATATTAATGTTATACCTAAAAATTGTGACAGTGTTAATTTGGCCAGCGATAAATCACCGTAATGTTGCGCGTGTTGTGAGCAATTGGAACCTTCAAACTTAAAATTACTATGCTCGGTAAAATATGCGAACTCCTGGTCAAATGTCTCAACCGTCGGATCATTATGGCGCCAATCATCGAACCAAATGGCGGCAAAATATGTGCCTAGGTAAAATCATAAACTATTAACTATACTCAACTACAATAACGCTAATTAATACCTAGACAAGTGTTATATGTTTCATCATCGTAATAAAACCAACCATCCTCATCGGGTTTAGTGGCGGTCACAGCATACACGTTAATATTATCAGGTAGAATTTTGTTAAACATTGAACCTTGAACAAATAGAATTATAACATTAAATTATTAAATCTATACTAAACAATTAAATTTACCTGATTCGCAAGCCTCCAAATAAAACACCATCTGGAAATACTTATTTGCTTTGTGCATAGAAACAAGTGCCTTGTTCAAATCATCTGCGTGCAACTGTTTGTCAGGGAAAAACACCAAGCCTGCAACAATAAATTATTAGTAAAATTAGTTAAAATTAATGAAAACCCATGAATATTTTACGAAAATATTACCTGGTGCACCATGATCCATAAGATAGACAAATATACGATCATTTGGTCCGCTTTTAACAACTTTTTTACCCGCTTTGGCCAACGCATCGCTTCCTTGCAATACACCCAAAAAGTTCTACAATATACAAAATTATATAATTAAAGCATTAAATAAAACTAGATTAAATTTACATTTATTAAGCCAGCATATTTATAAATTTGTTACAATACCTCTGGTGTGACATATTTTCCAGTATAATGTTTAGGCAGTCCTTCGTAAACGTTAGTACCGTTGGGCTCATTAATAATTTTGCCCGGGGTCGGATTACTTTTGTGTGTAGCTATATCATCGTAGTACATTATGATGATTTGCTCTTCAGGTATACCATGGTCTTTTACCAAATGGTACGAGTGGTAGACATCGGCCTAACAAATATTAAACAAAAACTATATATTAATAATTTCATTTAAATAAATAATTAATTTTAAAAATACCTGGATGCCATAATTAGGATACCAACCCTTGCCACTGGCGCACAACACAACCCACACTTTTGCTGTGGGGTCCTCATTGACCAAGGACAATTCCTGTGCAAATGGCACAGCATTTACCGACAATAAACACAATGTAATTAAGTAAAATAACTTCATTATAAATCATATAAAAGGTTAATTTACTGCTTAATAATATGGTGTTTATATACTATTTATTACCTCGTGTGTGGGGTCTCTATCACTGTTAGATAAAATATATCTGTTATAAAACTAAGAACATTTATTTGAAAGTTTCTTGGAAGTGTGTCTCACGTAGCTTTATTTTTTTAGCAATTCAGCAAGATAATTGTTGTTTATAGTATCACACTGCCCCCCCCTTTCAACCTCAGCCATCGCACCTTATGAGACTTAACATGGGATCCCATATTATGTCTATTGCTATTCTTTAACATAGGGCTAATGTTATCCTATGGGCTAACGATGATTACTTTTTCAATTGTTGTTATATTTAATAAAATTATTTTGTAAATCTTTTATTAGCTTATTCAGAATTGTAGTTAACTTATAGAATTGCCCTGCAATCATTATTTTTATAATAAAAGGATTAATATAATAAATTCTTATTATAAGTTGATATTAAATACAGTATAGTTTGTCACATTTTAAATGTTATGATAATTTCAATAATAATAATAATAATAATACAGTGCAACCCCTCCATAGCGAACCCTCTCTACAAAGAATACCCCTTCATAGCGAACGATTTGAAATCATTTGACGGATTCGCTATACATATAATGTTAATAAACCCCCTCTACAGCGAACCCCTCCATAACGAATACCTCTCTATAGCGAACGGATTTCTAA